GTTACAGTACGTAGCTATATCCTCGGTGTTCAAGAAAAATGTTTGAATTCAAAATTGTGAAAATTCACGGATCATTTTTTCAGTTTGTCTAGCATCACCAAGTCATTTGATGGGGGGAGTTATGTAACTTGTGATAAATGTGTAATGTGTTATGATGTTAAAAATTTTGCATGTATCTTAACTGAACGACCACTCACTCGTGTTACTCAGTTAAAATGTTATTAGCTAAAACAAGTTGAAACCAAACTTCCACATGAGATAAATTGGGATTCACTTGTTAATTTTAATTTTAAGGATCTTTTTTTTTTTTTTTTTTTTTTTAGCACTTTTTAATACATGAAGTGTGACAACTATAAATTTATTAGGAAATTCGAAAAAAAAAAAAATTATTCTCTTTGAACTTCATCAGGTTTTCGGTAACGTTATAAAAAAATTATTGTACTATTTTTCCATATTCCTTCCGGATCTTTTCTTACATTCCATTTTAAACAAAGCAATAAATTTGAGATGAAAGGCTTATTATAACCTACTCCACATATTTACGAAATTAACACCTTCTTTAACATAACCCTGGACATGTTTAAATAGAGTGTACTAGCTCCTCTATTTAACACAACAAACTTAAATAAGTTTCTGGATATTGATACAGTTGAGAAGTTTATAATATAAACCTCTGGTTAGATGAATATTTCATATGTAGATGAATATTTTATTGCTTTTCTGTGCATCCTTAATCATATTCGAGATTTTCTATGGACGTGTCACGCACCCGAAATACCTCCAATCCGATCCTCTAGCTCACGTCACTTCATAACACTCCTCCCCTTCCACTGCTTATTATCCCCTCCACGTTGGTGGTGGTTTGATGATACATCGGCTAGCCTGTTTAACCTCGACTGTGATTCACTCTTAAACATTTTTCAAGAAATAATTTTCACATTCACTCCATACACTTTGCGCAGAAACCTAAATACCAATATTGTTCACAATTCTTTTAACAAAAAAGATCTTTACTACAAGAACCCATTCTTTTAAAAGATTTATTTTGCGAACCCATTCCAAAACAATGAAAAGACATTTCCCGGCTTTATAATAGTCGCGGGTTATGTTAAAAATTATTTAAGGAACAATATAAAAAAAAATCCTTGATTGTTAATGTTTTGAATGCATAATCAGCTAAATTTTTTTTTTATTATTTCTTAATGATATTTACAACTGTATTAAAGAAATACATTTAGTAAATCTGAACATACGAATATAATAACGTGAAAACACTTGTTGAGTAACTACCCAATGATAGCACTCTAATGATATGTCAGCATTTGGAGATCAGGAGGCCACCTCTTCAGACGCCTCGGAGGGTCATCAGGAATTGAAGAGGAGGCAAGGTTAGAAACGAGAGGGTTGTGCTAATTCTGAAGTTTATTATGGAAGGATAGGTATCTGGATTGGGCCAGATCTGAAACATAAGGAACATTAAGATCATTATGGATGGTTTTATTTGTAACAAAGTAAGGAGCATCGAAGGATTTTGGATTGCAAGGATTGGATACGAGAGGAATTCGATGGTTTAGTGATCCCCATAGGTCAATCGGTTAATTTAGGATAGAGAATATCGTATGCAAATGTTGTAATAAGTAATATTTAAATTATTGTCTTAAAAGATCAGGAATTTTTTTATTCTCGAAGAAGTCTATATATAAAATGTTAATTAAATTATTTATTCATTTAAACACAAAAATTTAACGTAAAATCCTTTCAGAGTTGACATGAGACGAAGAACAAGAACACTGTTATAATCTTTTATGTTTTTAACAAACAGACAAAAATGATAATAAGAGATGAAGATGGTGCACGGACACTGAAAGCTACTCTGCAAATAAAGTTTTAAAAATATAATAGAGACTGTCATTGGTTAAAAAAATCCTGTTCTTATAAGAAAATATAAAACAGTCTAAAGTTGCCAATAATTATTGTATTTGATATAAATGGTATCAAATGTTTAATTTAAAAAAGTTATAAATCAGTGAACCTAGAATTCGATGCTCCCTATACAACTCTTATTCTATGATGTTTTTTTTTCCTTAGAAAACTGATGCTTTTAATAGTATTTTATATATTATACATATAAGTTATATATTAGTTTTTGGTAAGTCGGTAAAGTTGACCGTGAGTTTTGGCTATGCAGTTTTTTTCGAAATATTAAGTTGTACTCATTCCACTCAGAATTTAACGTATATTAATTATTTGAAGAGTATTTTTTCTACTTGGATGCATTAAACTGGAGTTTGATAAATCAAGAAATGTCCTAACATCAAGAGGAAGCTGAAAAGATCGTAGATTAGATACCTTTTATTTATTTTATTTGTGTCTAAAATAATGAGCGAAAGATACCGATGGATAGTTTTTTTTCCTCTTGTCTGACATGCTATTATTATTTTTTCTCGGATTTTGACTGGGAATCCACTGATTGTCAGTATTTGATAGCGGTGAATGTATAAAAGAAGTTTTAAACAAAAAAAAAAAAAAAAAAAAAAAAAACGAAGGTCCTAAAAATGTATTAGTTTTTGTCAATCAAAGGTTGGCCATAAGAGGACCTTGTTAGTATTTTTTTTTTTATATATGGTATACGTAGTAAGGAAGAGTATTGTGATCGTGAAAAAATTTCGAATTTGGGTTTTCAACGAAATATACGTGTTGAGGTCCCCTGTGAGTCTATAAAAAAAAACAAGTCTTGGAAATAGTCTGTGTGTATCTAAACAGCTGTAATTACAGTATGTATATGCTTAGGATGTAACAGCAATTTTTTCACTAAAATCGATGATCCAGAATTAGCACCTTACGTAACCTTTTCTCACTTATTCTAGTACCACATTTCTCGCAATATAACCCATTTCGATTATCAACTGGTGGGTCTAATATTCTTTAAATCAGCCACCATTTTCTTTTTTTGTTTGAATCAGTAGTTTCGGAATGAGAGATAGAGTGCATTTTGCACTAATAAAAAGATATATTTTCGTAATCCACATTCAAACTTGTTCGAATGAGAACCCTTTTCAGACCCTGGCTGGAGGGCTAAGAGGATGTGCAGCTGTAGTGGGACAGTTGAGGTTAGGTCAGGTGAGTCACAGGTAGCTTGGAGCTGACTCATCGGGGCTATTGCACCTCAGTCTGAGCCGCCGTGTGTGTTTCAGCAACACCTCCCTCAGCTCTTTTCCTCATTTTCTTTTTTTTTTTTATACCTTTATTTATTGAAATATGCCTTGCCGTTTAGGCAATACAGGTGTCCGCTTTGGTAGGATGCATAACTTCTCACTACTGCAAGTAAAACCTAATCATCTGCTCTCAATTTCTTGATTCATTTGTCTTGAGTTAGAGCCATTTCAATCTGATGATCTTCCATTATCTCTTCCTCTTCTCAATAAGGTGTATAAAAAATAAAAAAAAGACCGTTTTTTAACCAAATATTTTTATTATTATTTCTTCGATATAAAATACAATTAATTGTTATCTACCGTCATTAGCCATCTACTAGCCAATTGCTCGATGCCCACGATGATATCATGCTTTGGGGTGGCTGTCAAAGAACTCTTGGATCGCAATTTTAACTTCCGCAAAATTATTGATTTTTTTTTCCCTTGAAGAAAATGGATCATAAAACGAAATAAGTAGTAATCTGATGGTGTGGGGGTCTGGACTATATGGTAGATGAGGCAGGAGTCAAGAGTATCGATACAATACACTCTCTGGCAAGTTCGCGAGTACTCGTTGACTCAACAGCTTCTTGCAGATTCTGGGCCTATCCTAACGCGGCTTTCCACTTGTACGCAAATTCGTTGTAGCAGGGAAGAGTGGGTACGGTTGTAACAGTTTTCATTTAATCGTCCTCAATTTTGTAAGTATACCAGTTAGGTGCAGTATAGTTTTTTTTTTTCTTTCTTCTTATGCCAGTCATTGGTCATTCGACCATTTTTTTATATAATCATTTACATATGTTTTATTTCTTATGTCCGTCAAAGCAGGACATTTGTTTAGGTGGTCTGCATCCATTTTCGCTTGGTCACATTATTTGAACCTAGGATCCTCAGCCACGCCTATCTTGTGGAGATGACTTTGTAGATAGTCGTGACCAGTGGCCAAGCGGAAGCAGGCAACTGCATCTCTTCTTGGTAGGTCAGCTGGAATCGGGTTTTCCACCAAACATCCATAACGTCTCCCTTCCACCTTGTATTTGTGTATATTTTTTGTTTCCTCCTTCAGTGCCATCCTCACCATTCTTCGGATTAAATTGTAAGATTTTGGATAGACTGTTGAGACAATTCTGTTCCTCTCCTGATGAGACTATCTGCTTCCTCATTTACTGGAATTCCGCTATTGCTCGGAATCCAATGTAGGACCACATTGGTGCCTCGGAGTGTTAGATCGTAGAGGAGGGATTTGCACTCTACAGACATTTATTCACCTCAGTAATAGCGAGAATTGCTGCTTGAGAGTCGATATGTTTATGTACACTTGACTACGTATAAATACTAAAATTTTGTCAGTAAGTACAATGGTTATATCATAGGAGCAAATTAGAAATAAAAAGGAAAATGTCACAACCGACTCTACCCCAAGGACGGTTGTGTTAGTGTTTGGGAACAGGTTAAAAAACAAAGCAAAATAGTCTAAAAAAACTTTTATTGTATTTTATAACTTTAAAGAACAATTTAATCTCTTAAAACTAATAAGGAATAAACATATGTGTAATGATCAACTTTTCTTTTTCTTCAAGCTCTTTGAAATGTACCTGTCCTCCTCTCCTCGCATACTATCAATAATCATGATTAGATGTAATCCTTACTCCTAAAATGATTTTTTACTATTTCTTTTTCATTTGTCTTTTTAATATATGTTTCATTGTGTTTGTTTCAGGTGAGTGGAGTTTATCCTTTCATGAAATAATGGTGACTGGACAGTCGGATGGTGAGAATAGAGTTACGAGTAGAATCGTTTTCAATTCAGTGGCGGGAGGACGATGGGATCAACAGATTACTAGCGATGACTAGTGGTTGTGATTCATCATAATGATGATGTGATTGAAGGAAAGATGATTGGTCGATACCTTGATTGAGTGAGCAAATAGTGACTGAGTTCTTTTCGAGTTCAGCTCTCCTAATCAATAGACCTTTGTCAATTACCAAGAAATTTAAGAGCAACTTGTTCATTGAAGGGAGCCCCAAAATTATTTTTATTATTATAACTACATGCATATGCAGTTTTAGAATTCTTAATATCACATTGTGACCTATATAATATCATGGTGCAGTTAATAGATAGATAATTTATTTATTGGCTATTATGTACATCATTTAGCCATGGAGTTTGGCCCATTTGGTGTTAGTAGTTTTTATTATTGAATGGCAATGAAAGCATAAACAAAGCATAAATAAATAAAGATATAAATACGTATACATATGTAAATTGCTATTGAAAGAGAACAAAACAAAAATAAAATATGTATATATATATATTCCCAATAAGTAAATAGAATAAATAAACAAATACATAATTATTTCTAAAACCCAAAGCAATATAAAAAAGTGTATATCCGAAAATTAATTAATGATTCAATAACATCAATAGTTTTTCCCAAAGCCATATACATATAAATAAATAAATGGTTATTCCTAAAACAATATAATATAGTCCTTACTATATACCATAGACTTTAACAAAAAGAAACAGATGTTACTGAGTTTGTCCGCACTATCAATATTTAGAAGATTTTCTAAAGATAATTGTTTATTGTTTTGGACAGTATAATCTCCTAGGTATTTTTCTCTATCAATACTTAGTCTGGGCATTGCAATAGCAGGTGTTCCATGTTTTGGGTGATATGTTCTTGACACCATCCACATTTTTCCCCCACTTTTATAACCAAAGTGGTATTTTTATGAAAAAGTTTCAGCTTTTCCGTATCTGAAATTCTTAATTGGCTAACTAGTCTCAATTTGTTTATATTTACATGGTAAGTTAAATATTCTTGCGGCTGAGGGTTGTTAAAGCTACAAACAGTTCTGTAAAGTGGGTTGTATTTTGAGTTGAGAGCTCTATCAATATCTATAGAGTAGAGATGATTTTTTACTTTTTCGATAATTATGTCTTTATTAGTAAGTAGGTAATTTGGTTTTAGGTCTTTAAAAAGGTCGTCATCAATATAATTATTTGCTGCTATTTTTTTAATTTGTGAGATCCAGTTAAAACCTGAGTCTCTCTCTTTTGTATCTAAATTAATGAGTCTGACAAGGCATTTGCGTGGCAGTCGGTTTTCAGCCATTGAAAGAAGCTTAATACAAAAATTAATAATTTTCTTCAAAATTTTTACTTTTAAAGGAGTTCGTCCAAATTCTAAGCGAACAATATAATTTGGAGTACATTTGGACCAGAAATGTAAATACTTCAAAAATTTAGTCCGAATCGACTCTAAGCCTTACAGGTAATTCAAACTCCAAATCTCGGCTCCATAAAGAAGTGTCGATGAAACCATGGAATCAGATAGGGTCATTCTTGCTTCCCAGGAATCGGTTTTACCCCGGCTGAGTATTTCCCTCACCTTTGCACCTGCCACGAGTGATCTTTGAGTGAAATGATCGAAAGCTTTGACAAACTTTCCTGAGAATGAAAAAGGTATTCCTAGGTAAGTGTAGGATTTGGTGTATTCCAGTTCTTTATCATGCCAGAAAAGGGGTTTCAGTTTTTTTATCCGTGATGATTTCTGAAAGACCAGAGTTTTTGACTTCACCGGGTTAAGTATGAGAGAGTTTTGGCAGCAGTAACTTTCTAGTAGTTTGAGTTTCTTATGGGCACTATGCCACGAAGTACTAAGCATCACGATATCATCCGCTAGCAGCAGCATTGTCACCTCATTTATCTATCTATCTATCAGTTAATAAATAATGCATTCACTTTCTAAGTTAAACGTAAAATCAATTATTTCCTTGGTATTTTAATTTTAATTTTTACTCAAATTTCATGATTTGATTTATTGAAAGCATCTGTTTGAAATGTGAGGCTTATAAAAATATATCGGTTTAAATTTTGTTGGGGGAATATAATTGATCTATCGTTGTTAAAATCTGTTTGTGTCCTTGATCGAACAGTTTGGCGATATAAAACCTTCTTATTAATATATATGTTTTGTAAGTAGCTCAGTGATTAAGGATCTGTGCTCCTGTGCTTCCGATCCCTGATTCTAGTCCGGCTATGGAAGGTAATTTTTTTGTCTATTACATTACCTGTGGATCGATGGAAGACTCTCGTGAAGCACATTCAGCCTTTATAAAGTGGGTAAATTTAATAATCAATTATAAGGAAAAACCAGACGGTCGAGGGTGATTTCGGAATAATCGTCCCCTTAGAATAAACGTTATCCGAGAGTATTTCCTTAATAAGTACTGAAAAACCTAAAACCCTTTATGTATTGCAGTAATAATAGTAATAACCTTTATTTGTATATAAATATGAAAAAACATACATACACTTTTTATGTTGTTTTATACCTAGTATAAACGTATGTAAAAAATAACTTATAACCAGGCTAAGTAGTGCGCCTGTCCCATCCGTTTCGACTCTCTTCCAGGCTGCTCCTCCGCAGGTCTTCTTCATCTCTTTGTCCCAGTCTGACGAAAGAATGTGATACAAAACCCTTTTTTTTATTTTGAAAATTTTGCAGTTCTTTTAGTTTTAAAACAAATTTTCTGACAGGAGTATTGTTCAATGTACCGCAGGATACGCTATCATGCAACGAATGCAACAGGAATCTTTTTTTAATTTGGTTATTCTTTTCTAATTCAACTCATAACTCATAACTGCATTAATCCCCTGTCCTCTTCTCTAGCCACATAAAAAGAAATATATAGCTCAAAAGGCGGTGAAGGGAAGGATAATTTGGGAGAAATGTTTGGAGCTGATAAAAAGATTTCCAATGGAGATTTGGACGTTTAAATAACGCCTAATGGATGACATGCTGCCTAGTAAAGATAATTGGAAGTGATTGGAATGTAGTAATTGAAATTGGATGGTGAGATTCTTAAGATAATAAAGAACGGATTAATGGCAGCGTAATTAGTACTATAACGACGAGCAAGTTATGTAGCGCTGAGAGAAACATAACCTTTATAGGCAGCTATCCTGAGAATTCCAACAGCATTTTGTTATTAATTTTTAGATTAAAATTAGACTCTCTAGACTGTTAATACTGTATACAAAGCGAATTTTGCTTTGTTTTATTTATTTATTATTTTAAAATAAAAATAATAATATTCTTATATTTTACCATAGAAGTAATTTAAAAGAAGTTTGTTGATGGCGGAGTCAAATACTTATAAGTATAACTTAACTAATCAGAAGGCCCATTTCTCAATTGTAGGTGTCTTTCGGGAAATACGTATGCTCAAGCCTTGGTAAAAGTAGTTGATGGAATTGAATTATATATGTACTTGGTTCTCTCTACGTACCAACCTATGCAGTCTCACCTACAATGTCGTCAAAATATGATAAATAATATTAGTTTTTATTTCTCTCACATCGATATGACTACAGACGCACACGAAACCATAGTTATTCCTTGCTATTTAAAATGGGAAACGCTAGTGGAGATTTTCAATTTTCAGTTCTAAAATTTCATTAACTTTCTGCTTGATTAGAAAGCTTCCATATTTATTGCATTAAAAAACCAAAACAAAAAATCATCAATGAAGTATGAAAACTAGAAAGTATATATCATGAAAATTTATGTATAATTATATATCATAGGTTTCTTCTTTTAATCATCAGGGGTCGTAGTAAGGTTAGGCAGTGCTAATGGAGGCCGCAATAATTCTTTATATTTTACCGTTGCGTTTATAATTATCACTAAGTACACACACCGTTATACATGCATTCAAATTAATTCTATTAATTTTCGAATTGATGTTACTTAAGTAATTAAATATTAATGAATTCTAGCACTAGATTAATAAATATGGCTCAAAAACGTTTGGAGGCCCCAACTAAGTCACAGAGGTCATATGCGACATCCGAGGTCGCGGTTCCCTATAGCCCTGGAACCAGGGCCCAAAATTCGACCTGATCGCAGACGAAGGTTTGATTGTAAATTACGAAAGTGTATGTTATTCTGAGTAAAAAAAAACTTGTCTGCCGTTCCGGAGCCGCTGCTTTAAAAAATGGAGGCTGATTTAAAGAATATTAGGCCAATAATTTGATGATCAAAACGAGAAATCCATTGCGAAAAATGTGAGAAAAGTTTCTGTTTTTTTATCTTACATATATGTGTTTGACATGTAAACAACAAAATTTCTAATGCAGGCCACCAAGGGAAAACTTTTTACAGCCAAAAAAGTCAGATTTTTTCGATATTTTTTTAGTTTTTCATCTATAACTCCTAAACGATGGATCAAAGCGAAAAATGTATTCTTTAATAAATTAAAGAACGTTAAATTTTGCGTCAAACGGGTACATAAACATTAAAATTTGATTACGCGGTAAGATATAAAATCACGGTCAACCAAGTTTTACCAAATTTGCCAAAAACTGAGATAAATTACTATAAATGGCCCTGTAACTTGGAAATGAGTTCCCTAAGAGGAAAAACTCATAGAGTCAAAATTGTAGAGCATCAAATTTCGCGTATACTCAGTATCAAATAATTTAATGGAAGTCACTTGCTGCGAACGAAATCGGTAATCTCCCGATGGGTAGAAATTGCTAATGAAGGTAAACGTGATTTTCAATATTTCAACAATATGGGTGTCTATTATACTGAGTTAGTTTTGTTTAAAGTCTGTTACATGTAGTGTAAGCCCCTTTTCCACCTCTCAACAGGAAAGGATTTTGGTAAACGATGTACCGAATTTTATAAAGGAATAACGAATCCCGATTCGAGATATATAATTGGCCAACAATAAAAATGTCAGTACCCAGTATACGCAAAATTTGATGCACTACAACTTTGATTCTATGGGTTTTTCCTCTTAGGGTACTCATTTCCAAGTTACAGGGCCATTTATAGTAATTTGCCTCAGTTTTTGGCAAATTTGGTAAAACTCAGCGTTGGTTGACCGTGATTTTATACATTACCGCGTAACGAAATTTTAAAGTTTATGTACTCGTTTGACGCAAAATTTAACGTTCTTTAATTTATTAAAGAATACATTTTTCGCTTTGATCCACCGTTTAGGAATCCATCCACCGTATATCGAAAAAACCTGACTTTTTTGGCTGTAAAAACAAAAAAAAAAAAAAGGCCCTTGGTGGCCTGCATCAGCAATTTTGTTTTTTACATATCTAAACACATATATACAAGTTTAAAAAATTGAAACTTTTCTCACATTTTTCGCAATGGATTTTTTCTCAAATTATTGGCCTAATATTCTTTAAAACGGCCGCCATTTTTGAAAGCAGCGGCTCCGGAACGGCAGAGAAGGTTTTTTTTACTCAGAATAACATACACTTTCGTAATTTACAATCAAACCTTCGCCTGCGATCAGGTCGATTTTTGGGTCCAGGGATACATACTACCTTTGGTATATATACCTAGTTCTACCATAAATACTGTTTCAGTTGAACTTTGCTTACATCCTTAAGTATTATTAAGATAATCCTTACCTCTATCAAGTTATTTTCTTTTCATGTCAGGATAATAATACCAATTAGTTTGTATTTTTATATATGATTATATATATATATATATATCGCAATAGTAATACTTATTAATTATTTTCGTGACTTTATATAAAAAAAAAAATACAACTAAGCCCACTTTGAAGTAGCCATATTTGCAAAGCTGCTACCGCAGGTTCTTCGTAGGTGACTTCCTATCTTGCTCTTTACTTTTTCTCCTCTGTTGTATTCAATTACTTCCTCTCATCCTATCCCTTAGATGTACCGGCAAGTTCTTAATGTTCACGTTTATAGCCAGTATATCGCTGAGCAGTTGGAGATCCATTTGTCCATTCCCGTTCCTGCGGGTTTTTCCTTTTTTGAGAGGTTGTTTTCCAAGTTTCACATATATTTTTTGCAATTGTCTTCTCTAGTAGCTGAGTTACAGGAAAAGGATGATGTCTCAAGTCCAAGTGCACATCTGTGTTTATTTTCTGAGCTTTCTATTTTTATGCTAGTTTATCAAATACGAATCGTATTCTTTTTATTTCGCTTTTGATAAAAATGTACACACGGTAAGAGAAAATATAACAAAGTGCTGTGAGGGAATTGAACTAGCTCAACCTTGGTAGCTCTTATTGTAGCGCTTGTGTGCCTGAGAACCGCGACCGCCCAGTCGACCTTAGTTTCTTGGAAGACACTCTCCCGATAGCAGACATGCAGATTAGGCAGTTGGAACCTGGAACAATAGAATTCACCTTCTTTCGTTGCTGTAGTTATGCTTTATTGCATAAAATAAATACATTCATCTCAAATTTATTTATTTTAGTAATTAATATTTTTTTATTTTATTTTACTATCTAAATTTTAACTAATTTAAGCATTATCTGAAAAAGATATGATTAAATAATTGACAGAAGGTATTACATCTCAGATCAGCTAAATTAACCCTTGGTACTTGATTGTTTCCTCAAAGGGGTCTTGAAAGTTTATAAGCTTTTACGAAGAATTAACTTATCCCACCGTAATTTTTTAGGAAACTTATGTTTTCCTGTAGTTATTTAGCGATTTTTATTAAAATGGCACAAAAACAAATGAACATATAATACAAATATCAAGACGCATGATAAATAAATCAACCGGTTTTACGTCGAATGAGAACGTGGAGACCTAACTTGTAGGTAAACAGTTAAATTACTTTAATTACTAGTAATTATACTCTACTAAAAATTATATATTTGCAACTTTATAGATTCATCTCCTCGTTAGCAGTCCCTTTGTAATTGAGAATAAAACCAATCATGGGTCGAAGTTTGACTATATTATTTATTTTCTTGATTATCATTCTATTTCCCTTTCCTCATCTTAATGACTTCAATTCAATGATGGTCTAGATTAAGACTGATCTGTATGAACTGATTTGTCACTAGAATCATTAGTATCATTTCTTAAAATGAATCGTGAAAAAATAATGTTTACACTTGACTTTTTTCTATTGCTTTGGAATCTCGAAATTCCCTGGAAAAGTGAGAATTTACAATATTTATTTAGTTATTTTAAATTTATTTGAACTTTTAGGAAATAATTAAAAGTAGTCTATTCTTAAAATATCTTATATTTTGCTAGGAGGATTGGTTACATCGACTTTTTTTAGGATGTGTAGGGCAAAGGCACCACTTTTGGGCATACCATGACAGTAATCAAAATGACAGTAATTTTATGTCATTTAGACATTTTAAATTTACTCTGATTATCATATATTCATATTATAATTTTGCATTTTTATATAATCATCTATATTAACTATAAATTCGTCAGTAAAATAAAGTAATTTATTTAATTGTTCTATACTCGGTCATCCCTCGCCCAATGCCGCTCCGCAGTATCTGTCTGCCTCTGCATAATGGCTGTTGGCCGTTTGTTATTGATTCTTTCTTTCAAATGTTTATTTATTTATTTATTTTTTGTCATTTATATTTTTTTTACAACTTTATTAATATAATCTTCCTCTACAGATCCATCTTCTGGTTATTATTAATTGTTTTGTAATAAAACTGATCATGGGTTGAATTTTGAGTATTTCCGGATTTTTAAATTTTTTTTTTAATCATGATATTTACAATTATATTGTAAAATAAAAACATCAAGTAAATGTGTACACAGGAATATAATCACTTGAAAACGCTTATTGAGGAACTACCCACTGGTAGCACTAATAATATGTCTACATTATGAGATCACAAGGCCACCTTTGCAGAGGCCTTTAAGGGTTTTAGATCGTTAAGGGTTTTATCGAAGAGTTTTAGATGGTTAGAAACGAGAGGATTCGGATGGTTCTGAAGTTTATTATGGAAGGATAGGTACCTGGATTCGGCAAAATCGGAACCATATGGTACATTAAAGATCGTTATGGATGATTTTATTTGTGACAAAGTAAGGAGAATTGAGGATTTTACTAAAGATTTTGGATTGTTAGAATTGGATATAAGAGGAATTCGATGGTTTTGTAGAGCCCCAACAATCAATTCCGTAAGTCCAAATAGGCCTTATTATTGTCATATATATGAGTCTTTTGTAATCAAGTAAAAGTTTAGAGCGTTTGTCTAGTAAGTGGCTTCTTGTCGTTTTCTCTTGTATGAGGATTCCAGGTGGGACGATAGTCCAAGTGGAGGTCCTGGGTATCGGGTTTGTTTAACAGGGATCCTATCCTGTGGAGTATTATTAAAGTATACTGTAGGACAAGAAGTCATGGGTTTACGACGCAGGGTAAAGATAATTTGGTGGGAGTTATTGGAATTAATTTTAATCTTCCAGTTTTGATACTATTTTTAAAAGTTTGTGATGCGTGATTGAAGAGTTTGGCATGCAATTTATGGATCATTATTTATTGATAGGATACACGTGTCATCGGCATAGGTGGTGTAGTGTTACGATGTGGAGGGATGTCAGCTGTTTAAACTGTGAAACGGATAGGGTCTAGGATACTATATTTATTTCTATTTTTTTTTTTTTTTTTGCATTAAAGGATGGTTAAATACACTTAATTACGGCTGTGTACTTTTTTTTTTTTAAATCTCAGCGATAATTGCTTTGTTGAGTAATTGCTCCATATAAAATCTTCATGTTTTTTTTTTTTTCAAGATTCAAGATCTCCTGTTCTATTTTAAAAATCTCTCCCTCGCGGATCGCTAAAGCTACAGGTTCGCCGTAGAACAATAGCCTTACAAATCTATTAATACGACGGCTACATCGCCCGATCTAAAATAAGATCTTTATTTCTCGGTCTAAATAAGACCCCCCTCACACTGAGAACAGCTCAAGAGGAACATCTCAATATTGTAATCGATTCCTCTACGTCTTATCGTTTTCTCATAAAGTTATCAATTTAGGGTTGGAGCTATTTTTCGAACTAGTTCCTTTAAAAACTAAATAATAAAACCATGAATCTAAGTACACAATATGAATATATAATACATAATCCAAATACTATTATATGGGCCATATAAATATATATAATATAATGCAAGACAGCGTTGATTCCATCGATGGATAACGTCAATTGATTGAATCTAGCACCGGTCGGTGGTCAGCGATTTATGCTGCGTTTAGGATCGTCTTGCTGGATTCTAGTGGAAAACCAAAGAAAGTTTTGTAGATTTCGCGTTTCCTGACAATTTATTCAATGGTGACTAGGATTCAATTTGGAAATAAACCACTTGTATCTAAAGATAAATAAAAAAAAAGGATAAAATAAAAGATCTAATTATTACTAATAAAAAAAATTGCGTAATCCACATGTAAAATCTTTATTGAAAATAATTCTTGTTCATAAAATTTACAATCATAAGTTCCTTTTAGTCTTTTCTAAAATGTTTGATAAAAATGGACTAGAATATAGTGGGTAGCCAAACCACAGGTTTTTATTCATTCCATCGACATCCTCCGAACTGAAGGTCGCCCAGATATCATTCACCTCAACCCTTTGTTCTCTCTTCTAGGGAAAGGGTATTGTTCCATATAAAGGATGGCCTATTATTGGTTTATATTTTTATTTTATTTATTTTTTGTTTGTATAGTAAAAAATTATATAAATTAAGATTATCGAAGAAAAATTAAAACCAGAAAAGAATAGACAAAGAATACCATAAACATACAATTGGATAAGATTCCGTCCTGATTATAAAAAAAAAAATAAAATATGAAAATCCAAACCAGACACAGCCACATCTCTCGCCAACATTTTATTATATACACAATAATTGAAACAGTCTATACGATGTACATAATATACACAAGTACACTATTTCTTAATGATACAGAAATGGTTGAGTTAGTATTTATTTTTTCTTTCCTTATATCTTATATAATAATAGCTAATTTTAATAATCTTCTAATGTTATCATATCAAGAAAAAAAATATATTTACAAAAGATTATTGAGTTGTTAACAGGTCCATAAATCTTTCGATATAGCTTTTCACTACTCAATTCTATTATTATTTATTCTTACGTTTAATTTCTTAAGACTTATGTTTCAATGCTTTTGTTATTAATAGGAACTAAAAATTCAGTTAGGAGGAAAAGTAATAATTAGCATATAAATGGAAAATCTAAACTAGTAAAGTTTATAAACAAAATGACAGTTTTATCAAATTTAAGATTTCAAAGGACTGTAAATATTTTCATCCTATTTAATACTTACCAATACTTATTAAATCCTTCAGTGCGTTCTTTAAGCTTGCTTAATGCTATTCGACTTTATAAAAAAAAAAAAAAAACTCAGTTTAGTTATTTGTTTTAAAGAAGAAGCATGACTATGTCCTACGAAATTCTCGCAATTTTAAGTCATTACTGGAGGGAGGGGAGGGGGAATTCACAACCGCTGAAGCAACTCGTGAAATTTAATAATTTAAAATATGAAGGGGAAGGTGTCTTTGACCAGCGCACTGCGCGGCGTTGGTTCGAAAAATTTAGCAGTGGAGATACAACGTTGGAAAGGAATAAGGGTTCCCGGTGACCATTAATGGATATTGATGAGGTTCTGCGGGAAGCTGTTGTGTCGAAAGATTCTGTTCGTCGCCATCTACTTTCCATGGGGAAGGTGAAAAATATCAGTAGACTGATCCCTCACGAACTTACTCCTCAGCAATTAGCTAAGAGGTTAAAAATTTGTGAAAATTTATTGAAAACCCCTTCTGATATGAGCCTCATCCACCATATAGTCCAGACCTCGCACCATCGGATTTCTACTTATTTAGATTCATGGAGCATTTCCTTTAAGGGAAAACAATTGATAATTTTGCGGAAGTTAAAATTGCTGTCCTACAGTTCTTTGCCAGCCATCCCA